AATAGACTTCTTGTTACCCAATTTCAACAGATTTACATGGCCACAAGGACTTATCTAGTGTTTGCACTGCCTATTGCCAGTTTGCATTTCTTTGTATAACCACAACCTTGTCCCAAAGGACAATGTCATGTGACCTGTTACATGAATGCCTCATGACCTATCAGTTATGCTAGTGTGACTACTATTACAGGTATCCTAACCCAATTGTTAGTAACAGTTGCCATAATACGAATATTACATAGATGATTATTCAAATTTTCACCATCGATGGGATTTGAACACCTAATCTACCACTTGGAGGGTTGACAACCTGACCACTTCACTAGGTCGCTACACCCTTAATATATAAACAAATTTCAATTTAAATTACTGGTAATATCTTAAAAAATTAATTTTAGTTAAATGCAAATATCAAGACTTTTTTTAATAATTAAAAAATTTTCTTAGGTTTGAGTTTTGCTAACAAGTATATTTAGAACTGATATTATTTCTTATAAGTAGCTACACAATATTGTTGCACAAAACCAGAAATAAGAGAAATCTATATAGACACTATTTTAGTTATGAAAACTATATTCTTTATTGCAATTCATTTCTAGTATAAGAAAATAACCCTTTATAAAAAAAGTTGATAGTACTTGCAATTTGAATATTGGTTTGAATTTTAGTAAATAAAGCTAAAAACCTATTAATAAAGTCAATGTCTGATTGTTACATAGTTGGTTAGCTAGCATTACTCAGTTCTGATGAATTTGATTCAAAATTATAGAACTGCAAAAAACATTAAAAATCTATAAAACATATTTATCATTTTATTTGCTTGATAAAAAATTCAATTAAAAAAATGAAAATTACCAAATATTTAGCATTAATGCCTTTAAATTTATATTAAGACACTAATTTTGTATATAAAAAACTTATTTTTACTATCATTTGTTATAGCATCTTTAATTTTACAGATGTATATGCTCATATTTTTTTAAAAATATTGAATGATTAATAAGTTATATAAACTAATCAATTCCAAGATTTTGTATTTGTTCCTAGTATCTACCTTTTAAATCACAAACATATTAACTTGTCTATAAGCATTGTATATTATACAAACTTTATTCCTGATATATGTAACATATGAAAAATAAAACTAGTTCAAAATTTAAATATTATAAAATACTAAAATACTAAAATAAAAATTATTTATACAGTGGATTTTAACTAAAGCCATCACCTTTTACATATAGGCGCCAATTTTCTACCTGCAGTGTAACATATTATTGTCCAATAGAAATACATCATATATTATACTATATACCATAATATTGATCATGACAATCACTTAAATTCTAGAACTTTTTTGAACTCTACTGCTTGTTGCTACGATAATTTTATGTATAGCATTACGAACATACTTTCTTAGCGATTACAAATTAGTTATAATAATATGTTCGTACTATATGAATTAATTACAAGATGAAACATTTATTAAAATATTCATTATGTTATTTTACAAACCTTGTACAATAGCAATGCAAATGTATATTTATATTTATTAATATTAGGCTATTACAAGAATTAATAAAGTTCGCCTTATAGCGATTAAAAAAAATTCAAGAATATATTGGAATTAAGCTAATTGCTATTTTTAACCAAATCTATCCTATTAATTGAATGATGACTTTTTTGTTTTTTGACAGCATACTCAGCTGCCTGGCCTGTTAACCCTTTTTGATAAGCATTCATTCATCGGTAAGAAAGTCTCGCGTATTTTCTGATTATTTCAACTGGAATGAAATCAAGTGCAATTGGAACATTTTCTTGTAGCCCCTTCCAGGTATAATTACAGTTTTCTTGCGTGTGTCTTTTTGCTGTACCCCAGTACATTTCAATGTAGTTAAGTTCCAGGTAGAACTTAGGATAAAAAATTATCTAAGATTTATTCATTATTTAATTATAAAGTCTTATATATTTTTGTATTTGGCAATTTACTTACCTTATGACCACATTTTTCAATTTTTTGTTGAATTAATCCACATTCATTTAAAAAATCCAGCTGGTTTGCAATAAGGTGTTATGCACAACAATCTACTATATTAGGATCTGATCTGTCTTTTTTATATATTTTACAGTCTGCTAACATTTTATTTTTCCAAAGACCTCTCTTTTTAAGAACTTGTCTCATTTCTTTCAGTTCTAATCGTAAAGAAGAGTCTTTATAATCTTCTGGGAATATTATTTTTTGAGTTTCTTCATTCTATATAGTGTCTCTCATCTTTGGCTGCATTCCATCAGGTTTCAAATTTATTCTAGTAGCTACTAGCGCATCAGGTGCCATAAGTGTATGGCTAGTGGCATTATCAAATGCCCAAACTCCAACACATCTCGGATGAGATCGCTCAAATATTTCTATAGCCTTTTTTACTTAAAAGAGTAACTTTTGTCCATCCCAATACCCATCATAATTCGCACCTAATTGCATCATTAAACTTGCTTCTTCTTCTTCATCTTTCAACCTTCCAATTGTTTCTACTAGAAATTTACTAATATGAAGTCCTTTTCCAAGTTCTTTTTTTCTTAACAGCTGCTCACCTTTGGGTGCTCAGAACTTACAAGTGTCATCATAAGAATGGAAAATACATTCATTATAGGTAATTAGGATATGTTTTTGTTCACCAGATAAGAGATGCGGCTCTTCACAAACTTCACAATTAATATCAATCCACTTAGGCATTAACCTTTCATATTCTTTTATCTTTTGTAAAAATCTTTACGATATGTAACCACATCCTCTCTTTCATGACCATCTATATACACACCTTTTTGGTATTGCTTATAATAAAAACCTATTTTTTTTATCTAACACCATGCTGTAGTCAAAGAAATTGTTTGCACTAGATCAATATGAAGTTCAGGTAGAATATTATTTTCAAAGTACTGTTTGACAAGCCTTGGATTTACTTTAAATTTTGTTGCTTTTAGGTAATTTAATATTTTTAAAGAGACATCTTCATCATAAAGAAGTGATTGCGATGGATGCTTTCCACATTGAGATAGAGGCAAGAGATTACCTTCAAAACACCATTTTTCTCACACTCATATACATCTAGCTCGATACATGCCACCATTGTGAATAGTTGCTACAACTTGACTTGCTTCCATTTTAGATAAGTCATGTTAAAGAAGTTGAATATAATGGATTACAGAAGCATATTTCACTTTATCACTCTTTGACATTTCTTTGATATCTATTAGGGTTTGTACTCTTTTCTCAGTTTTTTGAAGTTTTTGTTTTCATTTTAATGATTTTTCTTCAAATTCAAGATTACAATTACTTTCAGAATCCGATTGCTGGTCTTCTATGGTTTCATTATTGGAATTTATGTTAGTTATTGGGTCAAAAAACTGGGTTATTTGTAATTCCCTACTGCATTCATATAATTTTGTTGTAATCTTCATTGTCTCGTACAATCAGAATTTCTAGTATATCTCTAATGAGAATTATTATAATCTATTTCCTGAGCATTTTGAATAAGCTTTCTAAATACAGTTTCTGCTACTTCATCATTTTCTAAGTCATATGCATTGTTAACAATTGGTAAATTGTCTTTATCTCTTCTTTGTTGTCTTATTTTTTTGGCATTTGCACGGTGTATTAATAAACTTTTTTTAATGCGACCCATGTTACAAGATTAGGTACTGTAACAAGTATAAATAGTTCAAATACAGAATAAAACAAGAACACAAAGTAAGGTTTTTTTATTTAAGTTATTAACAACTGAATTAAAATGTTTTATTAACGTGATTTATATGCTTATTTATAATATTCACAAACATTTATTACATTCTATCTTGTTGCTTTGCCCTATAGATTCCAAGAAGAATTGAAGAATTTCAATAATTGGGGCTTATGGCTTTGATATATGAGTATCTATCTATTTTTTATTTTTTTTTGTTTTACTCTTATTAACTATTTTCTTTTTCATATAAAAACAAAGGTCATAGAAATTCACTTCTGATTTTCACATTTCTTTGTATAGCCTTTAACTTAATTCTGTCTATTTTAACATTATTGGTTTTTTTTTATGTTTAAAAATTTATACATGACTATGAGCTCAATTACTTTACTTTTTTAATTAGTAGCCATAAACCAAATCAATGCCAGACCATGAGACTAGATTCATGTGTTTTCATTTTTGGGTTATGATATCAATACTCATTTGTTATCCAAAACCGAAATGTAAAGCATCCAAGTTTATGCTATTGCATATATCAATATTAATTATTTTTTGCTTGGCATCATTAAGCAAAAAAGGCATAATTGGATGCATAATTATATGTGATTGTAGTATTGGTAATTGGTCTTCTAGTATTAATTATTTACTGTATGAACACTGCACAGTTTATAAATTTTCTTTTGTGTGGCAAGTAAAAAAAATTACAAACAACTGTGCACACTACTTGTCTCTGTGTGCTGTACACAGTCTGCACATAAAACAGTGATAGTAAATAATTTAAAATAACCCAAATGAGGTTTGAAATTTTTCAAAATTGGCCTGGCACAATGAATTCGTTTAATTTCAATCATGGCTTTTATTTGGTTAGCTAAATCAATTTGTTGGCAATGTTTATAATAGATAATTAGCTAGATATTTAAAATCAGCTAAGGTTAGTAATTCTATAGAAATTTTTTCAAGCTGCACTTGTCACTATTAAGAAGAGAAAAATTTTATTAAATTAGAAAGTTATTTATTAACATATCTGAATTTTTTACATTTTTAAATAGGAAATTATTAAGTTATGATAGAATGTATATATTAATTGGTTATTAGACAGGCACTGCCTGATAACAGATCTATCCGGCAGATTACTGTGATTTCTGCCCAATAATTTTATTATTGGGCAAAGGCGATAGTTTAAACTATTTTAACCTATTTTAAACTTTCATTTTTGCCAAATAAAATTATTGAGCAGACAAATCATAGTAAGCTGCCAGATAAACATTTATTGATCTAAGTGATTTACTTAAATAGGCTATTGAATTCTATTAAATTTCATCTTATTTGCATTGATTTATTTAGTAAGTATTAAAACATTTGAGAATTTAGTTCGTTAAGCAACAAGGTTGCAGTCCATAAAGTTCCAATATAGATAATAGTTGAATCTAAATTATGAGAAAGGTTGGGGCAAATTGGTAATAAATATTCATAAGATTCTGAAGAGTAAATATAAATATAAATTTGATTGGTAGTTTAATCACGTGAATTTGTTTTATTGGTAAATTATAGATGCCAATTTTTTAAAATACATATATAACATATATATAATTAGGCAAATTTTAAATCGATATTACAAATTTTTTGACATATTAATTACTAAATATTCTTTGATAGATTTGTAAATAAATTAATAAAAAATATTATGTACAAAAAAAATTTATAAATATATAAATTTGATTAAAATATTTTAATTTAAATTGAATATACTTTATATGATGACTTTTAGTGAAATCCATTGTATGAATACTCTAAATTTTTTTTATTTTTTAAAAACTAATGATCTATTTATTTTACACAATTTTATATTTAACTAATTAAATTTTAGAAATTAAAGAAATTAGCTATTTTTTTCATTTTTTCTTTCTTGCAATCTTTTACAAATCATAATTCTTTAAAGTCTTTAAAAATTAAATGTTTTTAAAAGAATATCTTGCAGAGTATGAACTCAGGACATTGCTACAAAAGAAAGACCAGCTGTAAATTTTTTGTTGCTGATATCTATTACAGCTTTTAGTAATATAAGGCCTTGGCTTTTGTGAACTATAATAGTCTATGCAAGATGAATAGGAATTTGCATATATAAGTATATATTTTCAGATTTACCCTCTTATATATATTGAATTAGCACAATTGGAACAACTTTTATACTCTCTAAGGTACTAATGATAGGTTCTTTATAATTAGTAAAGAATATAAAAACTATTATAAGAAGTAAAAGTAGTCTTTGTTCTTCTTCAAACAATATACTATAAACAGTTCCTATTGAACTATTAACTAACCTAGCTTCTGTTTATAGGGTTGCAATTAACATAATACATGCATCTTTGGTTAATAAAAGTTCAGCTTCAAGACTATTTGCTATATCTAAATTAGCATTTTTAGCTTTTCTACCATTTCTATAATGTACTGCAAGGATTTTAGCAACAAGAATATTTAAAGATCTAAGCATATTTGTATTTATTAGATTAACCTTTGTTCATATTAATGAGATAAATGTAGAATCTGAAAATTGGCTTTGTTCTGCTTTTGTTATTTTATTTTCAAACCATGTACTAAGTGTTTTTTAATTTAAAATTGTAGATTTTTTATTTTGTAATTACAATAAAATGTTTCTGAAGTTTTGTTGTTGTTCAGAATTATTAGTTTGATGTTGAATAATATCAAGCTTATACATTTTCTAGAACTGTTTATATGCTACAATACTATTATTAAATAATGGGTCTTACAAATATGTGTTATATACTGTATATAGAATAGTCAAGTACAGAAGAAAACTGACCAAAATTACCAACTAATATTATAGACCTTTTACCAAAAGGTTTATTTTTATACTCAAAAAACATCTAGTGTAATCACATATCAATCATAGCAAGCATTTTGTGTCTAACTATGTTTTTTTCATCAATAATAAAATACTTTATATGTTGCAACTGATTTTGTAATTGTTTTAGTTACTTATCACTAATATCAAGGTTGCTTATAATAGGTACTAGAATAGAAAGTTTTGAATGAAATATCACTTCATAATATTGAAAGCTGCAATATCTGTTAGAGTAAGCACTAAGACTGATAAATCAGATCTGCTTTTAGCCATCTTACAAAGTCAACTTCTGAGTGCTTAAATAAGATATAATTTTTTTGTATTCACAGTTTTCATAACAATAACTCTCAATAGCTTAATTTGACAATCATTAAGAATGCTATTATAATGTAATTCTATTCTGCTAAAAACTATTTTTTGTTTTATATTTAAAGTTTAATAATCAATATTATTAATAGAGCTTTTATTTTCTGTTTCAAAAACATTACTAGCATAATTAGATGCTCTTTAAATAAAAGAATTTGCTTCTCTAAGATCAGTATTAAAATAATGCTCTTTAACATTATTAATCCAGTTAAAATTTTGATCAATGTTATAGCTTTCAAGATTAGAAAAACAATCAATACTTGAATTCAGACCTATTTTTGCCAAAAGCATCCAATTAAATCAGTATTTATCTTGTTCATTATTTTTAAACTGTTCCTCTTTATTTTCATTATTCATAATTTTATTTTCATTATGATCTACAGAAGGTCTAAGTAAGTCTATCAGATCAGAATTTATTTTATCAAAATAACCATTATATAGATCTATTCAAGAAATAGTATTGTTTTGAGTTAATATTTAAATATTATAATAACAAATGTAAAGAAGAACTTTTATATAACAGAACTCCTATTTTGAGCTATTTCACAAAGATAAAGAACATGACCATATGTATATAATGTTTTCTTGTTTGTGTTTACACTATTTATTCTTAATAAATTTATATTTAAGATTTAGTTTATATAATAAAAATTCTTCAAATTCAGAATCTCGATCTTAATAAAATTTTAAAGCAGATTGTGTTGTTAACTCTGAATTTCCAACTTTAAAAACATTTTTATTTTCTCTTAAACCTGTATTTGAAGCTATCATGATGTCTTTTTATTAAGATTAATTAAAATAAATATACAACTTGAATGATAAAGAGGTATTTCAAGAAGAATATGACAGATTTCTTGTGCTAATATATCATATTCTGCCATACTATAAAGTAATAGCCTTTAAATTGATGCAATTAATTGATCATTAGAATTACTGTTATAAAGAATCTGATTTAATATTTCTGAAAAAGCAACAAATCATAGGTTAGCTTAATTAGTATACTTGGAAATATATTGTAGAGCTGCATAGATACTAAGTTCAGGTTTTAAATCAATGTTTGCTTTCTATCTTTTTTTTCCATTTAAAGCGGCAATCTTGTCCGCGTGTCTTTTATTAAGTAATATATGATTACATATAATATACATAGTACATCAACGAAAGTACAACTAGTCACACGTATAACTTTAGTCATTATCTAATTAAGGGTTCCGCCCACAGGTTACCCACTAGATGCCATACCTGAGACCCACCTGTGAGTCCCCTATTTAAACTTTCTGATTTTCAATACTATTTATGTATATATCTGCAATACTTACATTACCGTTGTAGTGACAAAATAACATTATTATTATTATTAATAGAAAAAATTAGATATAAAATTAATTAAATGTAAAAAAAATTTAAGATTTTAGTTTAGTAAAAGTAAAGAAAGATTAAAATTTTTAAAAAATTTGTTATAACAAATTATAGAATTAAAAGGTTTCAAGTTTGGTAACAATTCTAATAATTTGTTTTTACAAAAACATTTATTATATACTTAGTTCTTACATTTTTCAAATAACTTGTAATCTGTCTAGTATGTTAAGTCTAATTATCATTATTCCAAACTCCAAATAAATAAACTTTTCCACTTACATTATTTTTTTTATTAAATACTTCAATTTCATTTTTTATTAAAATGATAATTGCATTTATAGATGATTATAAAAAATTATAATTATATGAATATCAAAATTTATATGTTTTATACGTAATAACAAATAATGTGACTATAACAGGATTGTAACTATACCATAACAAAGTCTGACAAAACTGATTTTTGGCAAAACGAATGCTTGTTGAGTTTTTCTGATCGTGCATTTGATCTTGAAATCTGATTGGTAGTCTGACACCAACCTGTCACACATTCCGGACTTGCGTGAATTCGAATGTACAAATGAGAGAAAGCCACTAATTTTATAATAATTTCACTTTAATCCATCATTACATCATAAATTCATCATATGGCTTTTGACTCTTAAATTGATTACATATTTCTTATGCATACTTATAATCAAACTATTTCGTACTACCGGCCCTTACATAATTTAATTTCCACTTAGTCATCCAAATCGTTAGTTGAAAAATCAACTAATTGATAACTTTCCAACTAGTTGATTTGAAAATTTTTGAATCATTAAATACTTCAATTATGAGATATTCTGGATATTCTGTCTGTTCGGGCTAATTTCTTTGATTTGATCTCTTTTCCGTTTCGACAAAGCAAAGTATTTCATATATTTACATACTATATATACACTATTATTGTTCACTTGAAAAAATTTTTTTGAATTACTATATTTCGAGATCCAATAAACACCTTTGAATTTTAAATATTATAAAGCTTATAACCTCAATTATAATATAATATATTTAATAAATTTGTGAAAAATTTTCAAAATAAACGATTTTTTATAGTGCAATATTTATAGAATCTATAAGCAAAAATAAATTACATGATAAAATAATAATTTTATTAGGAATTGCTTTTTATATAAAATTTAATTATTGAAATTGTAAGCTTTATAATATTTAGAATTCAAAGGTATGTGTTATTGGATCTCGAAATATTGTAATTCAAAAGTGGAACAATAATAATGAGAGAAAGTGTATATATATACATATATATATATTGTTATATATTAATACGTTTCTTCTCTTATGTTTTTAGAGTTCTAAATCGATGCTCTTCACTAAGTATATTGTGTACTTATTTTCAACGTGACACTATTAGTGCTAGAATCGATACTGCACTCTCTCAGCTCTCCCAATTTAATAGTAACAATACATGTATAAACATAAAAGTAAATATGCTTAATTTGGCGCATAATTACATAATTTGGTACTATTCAATTCGTCTCTTCAAGAAATCGATGGTACGTACGTATGTACGTACTTACATGCCAAATTATGCGATCCTGACCAGTAGATCGTAAGACACCGAATTAAACACTACGTCAATTAGGCATATCTACTTTAATTACATTAGATATATATACGTGTGTGTGCTTATAACTTCTCTATCGAACAAAAATGGGTTATACTGAAGTTTTTTGCTTATTATTTTTTGTTATATTTATATTTCATTTGATTAAGCGACCTCGAATTGGCGTGGTAAACTTAGTTTTGTAATAATCATTATGCTTATTATTATTTTTTTTTATAATATAATATTTTTTTTGACAGAAAGAGCCACCATTAGTACCATATCGATTTCCAATTATTGGACATACGTATTATTATTTATATGACTCTGAAAACTTTCTCAAAAAGTGTAGGGAAAAGGTAAAATGTAATTACTTATTCTATACCCTTTTAATTCGATGTTTTCTAATATCATTGGTTTTTCATAAAGTATGGTGAACCATTTAGTTTATACGTCTTTGGAATTGTAATAACTTTTACTGGAGTTGAGAACTCTGTTGAAGTCCTAAAGAATGACAGTTTTGATTTTCATGCGGCAATAAATAAGGTACGTACGTTCGAAATTCATCCATTTTGTTACTGACGTTCCATTAAAGAGTATATATTTTGTGATTAGTGCTCCTAATTGGTTGATCTGAACAACCCGGAACTGACTCAGATAAATTTATTATAACTGGGTTAAATTCGAAATTCGGATCATTTATTAGGAGCACTAGTCGTGACTTCTCGATGTAGCTACGTACTTTAGTTAACTGAAAATGCACCTGACTAAATAAAGGGATTCGTCTTTCTTACGTGCATTAAATAGTAATCCTAATCAGTTGCAACTTTAGTAGATTAAAATGTCAACTATAATAACAAATAATTCACTTAAAAATAAATAAAATATATACATTTTATGTATTCTAATATATAACATCATTTATTTATTTATATTATTACAGATATTCCCCTTTAAGGATGTTTTAAACCAATTCAAAGAACTTGATCCAGTATATACGTCCCGTGTGATTCATGAACAAATCAGTGGCAAACTTAATGTTTACATATCTAGAATACAGAGTGAACTTTTATTCGGAATTGAAAAATATTTTGGCGATTGTAAAAGTATTATTAATTTTTATTATTAGTTGAGATTTACTATCTAGTTGCTATCTAAAAATTAACTAATAATTGTTAGAACCAAAAACTTTTAGAAATACTCAACATATGCTGGGACTAATAGTCGCAAAGACTGTTGCTAATGTTATTATTGGTGAAGTAAGTTTTATTCATATAATTTTCATTTTATATTAGTAATTTTAATTGATTTTTAATTATAAAGGAAGCTGCTCAATTTGAAGATATTATAACATCATTTGCAATGTTAGAACGCGGATTAGTAAAGATGAGATTGATTACTCCAATTTTAACATTCATTAGCTTATCACTCAACGCAAAGTTTCTCACGTACTATTATCAACCAATAATATTTTTTATGGCAAACTGTTGCTTCATTTATAAATCGGTTATATTAAAAAATACTTTTTAATAGGTTACCATTAAAATTTGGATGGAATCCAATTAGTCAACATAGAGATATTTTTGTTAAACGTTGTAAACCGATTGTTGAAGAGCGTATCCATCAAAGGAAAAAGCTTGGTGAAAAATATATTCAAAAAGTATATTATCTTTCTTTATTTTAACCTATTATACAGAAGCTTGAATATCTTAATGTGCAGTAACTACATAGTAAATATGTGGTAACTATAAAGTTACTATTAAGTTTAATAATTACTATACAGTTACTATGAAGTTACTATGAAATTACTGTGCATTAAGAAATCCATGTTTCTGAAAGTACTTTAGATGAAATGTTGTCTAATGAATGGTTTTTTAATTAATAGGAAGATCTACTTGATTTCTTTTTAAACGATCCATATTATAGAACAGATGTCGTGGATGATAAATATATGGATGGTTTATTTGCACAACTATATGCAATAGTTTTTGGTTCGACGAGTTCAACATCCAAAGCTCTTGCATTTGCCCTTTTTGGTAATTATTTTAATCTGTTTTTATTCTACGTATCTAAAATTTTTTTTATTTAATTAATAGATTTTAACCTTGTGAATTAATCTAATAAAAATTAGATTATGGTGGAAGACCTGAATTATGGAATGAAATCTACGAAGAACAATTAAAGATATATCATGAATCTAATGGTAATTTAAGTGTCGAAGATGTTCATAAAATGGTCAAATTGGACTGTTTTCTAAGAGAATCTTTTAGACATTCTTCAAATATAGGTAATTACACTCAATCATTTGGATTTTTACAAATAACAAAATATTAATCCATTCATTTTATTCTTTTATTTATGAATTAGCTGGATTAATGCACCTTTTTACTGGTGATTCATTTACATTTAGCAATGGAACCACTATACCTAAAGGTATATTTTATTTTTTAATTTATAATATATTTGTATTTTACATTAATATTACTTTTAACAATTATATAGATCGTTTGGTTTTTGTTTATACGAGAGATACGGCCTTCAATGATAAATTTTATGGAGAAACTGCAAATGACTTTCAACCGAAACGGCATATATCTTCACGTTCTAATGGCAAAATTATTCACACGCCAGCTGCAAAAGTTAATAGATCTTTATTAACTTTCGGTGTTGGTAAACATACATGCCCTGGTAGATTGTTTGCTGTTAATGGAATCAAGTTATGTTTACACAAATTAATTTTAAAATATAATATTAGGACTGAAAGTGGTAAAGTTGATCCCCCTAGGAGATTTTCTGCTCTTACTTTACCACCTATTTCTGGATTAGTTTTTGAAAATCGTAATTAATAATTTCTTCATGTTGGCGGCTTTATCTTTTAGTTTTGACAATAATGTACATATAATCCCTAAACTTGGCATCAGATTCAAAGTCTCTTTCTATTTTTTATTTTTATTTTTCTTAGCAAGTTATAAGCGTACAACATAATATATATACATAGAAATATAATTTTTTTTACAAAATGTAGTGGATCACGAGTAAGCTCTAATCTATATACGACAAATTATCGATAAAAAAATGTATATACACATTATTATCATTTAATGGGTTAATTAATAGTGTCCCTTATAAAATACGTATTATGATCAATAAATGGCTATTCTATTCACCAACTAAATCTAGTTCTAAAGACTAAAAAAAAGTTAATTATTTATTAATAATCAATTTTAATCAACATAATTTTTTACTTAATACTTATCGTTCTAATTGTTAATAATACGATATCAAGCGAAGTACCCTAATTTCAACAGGCAAGAATAATCTCAAACGACATGAGAAAAAAATGACATTATTTAATAATATTGCCTAAATGAAGTACGTACGAGAGTGTGTTATTTAAATAATTTTAATTTTGCATAATATATTATTTAGGCAAAAATGATTTAAAAATTTTGAAACAAAAAAATCTAGGTGGAAGAAACAAAATAAATTTTATTTGAATGATATTATCATAATAATTTCTCCCACTTTGATCCATTGCTTTGTTGTTCCAGTGCTGCATTGGGTATTTTTAACATATTTTTTACTGCATTAAAGGGTCATATACAAGACCCGGGTCTTACATTCCTTCAATTTTAAAGCCTATAATAGACATTGGATCTAGCATATGGCTAAGAGTTTGTATCATTAAGAAAGAAATTTTGAAGAACTTGCGCATTTTGCATTTATGGCAAGTAGTTTAGATATATGAGAAAAAAACAGGTTCATTAATGTAGATTCCGTAATTTGCGCCCGGTCTAATTCATGGAGGATTTTTTAGATGGTCTTTACGGTTGTTTTTATAACTTAATAGTAGTTATTTAATGTTACGGATGATGTTGAAATCGGATGATGCTAATTCTGACCTATAGGCAGTATCATCACTTTTGATACATTATATTTTATAAAATAAATTAAAAAACTTATTAATAATATTAAATCTAATAACTGTTATTTTAAAATATACTTTTAGGATTATATATACTATAATATTAAGGTTTAAAATTAAATTTATTATATTTTATTTAAATATTTTTTTTATTAATTTACAAATTTATAAAAAATATTTAAATTATATAGTTTTTAATTTATAATTTTTTTTTTTTATTATATAAATTATATTTTGTCTATTAAGTAAAAATGTTTTTTAATATCTAATAAATCAATTTTGAATTCTTTCTATAAATCATTTTTACACAAAAATAACTAAAAATCTGTTAGTAATAAAATCATTAATATATGGTTATTTTATTAAGATAACTAACTTTGGGTCTTAAGTAAACTAGTTCAACTCTTAATTTTATATATATTTTAAATGTTTTAAAGAGATAGTTCTCAAACTCAGTTTAATACTACAATAATGGTCTTTAGGTTTTTAAACTTTTTCTTTAATTATTTCTTGACAACTAGCTTTACAACCTACTCTATAGTCCTAAAAAAAGTTGTAGAGTTTATTTCTCCAATCAAAACAAGGTCTAAACAAACTTAATAGACCTAATATTAATAAAGATAGTTTAAAAAGCAGCTTTAATTCTCTTGTAAACTTTTTAAAAAAATTCTTTTTCATTTATCTTTACTTTTTTTTTCTTACATGATTTTTGTATAATATCAAATCATTACTGTAATTGTTTTTATATTAAATCAATTAATATTACTTAAAATAGCATACAATTTTTTTTATTGGTTTTTCTTTTTTTATTAATTTGATTTTGTATACTATTACAAGGTTTTTTTGAAACATGTAACTAAATTGTTAAATTAAGCTATACTTGTCATACTAGCTACACCTTGTACTATATAGATTATATAAAATTGTTTTCAAAATTATATAAAGTCACAGCAGCTGCAATAACTACAGTATTACTTCATATTTCTGTCAAATCAACCCTTATTATTATAAACTTTATATATTAAAAACTTCAACACTTAAAAACAAAAAATTTTATTAAATAATATTAACATTTATCCTTAAATATATTTGTAGTATTTTTTCTTCTCTATTAAACAAAATACCTACTTTGACCACCCAAGAGTTAGATCATTTTGATCTTGACTATTTCTATAATAAGTATAGTAATCATTGTGGTACAATAATCTGAGAAGTGGGAGTGTGACAATCTAGTGAAATGGTCAGATTATCAACCTCCAAGTGGCAGGTTCAGAGTTCAAATTCTAGTATTGATAGAAAATTTAAAAATCTTTCCTATGTTATAGTTAACTGTCTTTTGTAATTGGTTAGGATAAGACACCTGTTATTTGTGTCATACCAGCATGACTGGCAGGTCACATGACATTTGTGTAATAGTCACATGACATTGTTCTTTGGAACAAGGTCTGTAGTTAACAAAGGAATGCAAACCAGTACTAGGCAGTACAAACCTACAATAAGTTCTCATAGCTATGTAAATCATAGAAATCTCACTTGAAGACTCAAGTAGAGAGATAACCCGAACTTTTGACAGTGTTACTGTAAAGACTATACTTATAAAACAGAGTTAAAACTTATGAAACTGGACAAATGTGTCAGTCTTTGAGGAGGAATTGGATAAACCAACCAGGCTATCAAAATTTTTGAGTTCTGAAGAAAAAGTATACATGTTGGCAAACATGTAAACCAGAGGTGTATGGTTTTGATCTATCTTTTCAGGCTATCTGGAATGACAGCTTAGTAAAACTTGAATTAAATACCAAAGTAGTAAGAATATGTTATGAAGTAAGTACTGAGATTGGGGTGAACTCTACAAAGGCATATCAGTTTAATGATACATCCTAATCATTAGTATTGGTTTTGGCTATAGTAATACTAGATCAGCTGTAAGAATAGAATACAGAAGATTCTAAAAGATTTAGTACAAGATCAAAGGTTCTAAAAAACTGTTTTAAAGACTTAGTGACCATAGCATATTTTTACTAGCATCAGCCAGAGTTATTAGTAGGCAAAGGTAGATAGGTGAATATTGAAACTAGAGTAGTTAAATAGGGAACCTACAAGCAGGTTCTAGATATAACAGCTAATATAAAACCTTCAGGCAGACTACCTAAATTAGACAATAACTAAAGTTGTACAAGTAGCTAGTTGTATACTCTTTCTATAATTGCCTTCTGTATTTATAATACAACCATTAGCCAAATATACTATTAATAAAATTATGGGTTACAAGTATTCATCTTAATATTTAAAAAAAAATAATAATCTGAAAAATGCAATCTATATAACTTAAAGTGATGCCATTTGTATTTAACCTATCTGAATACAATATTGCTAAATCTCCTTATTATTTTAAAACTCCTATTCAACCTACTATTGTTCACTATTATTGTTAAAAATTCTATATTCTCTTTATTTTTAGTAATCTTAACATTCTATCTAGATAAGTAACTCCACCTTCTTCTTTCCAAAAATCCATATATATGGATATTGACATTATACCTAAACAAGTCAGATAACTTAAAAATTATTTCTCAATTACCAATTACAAAAACAACTACTGTTCTTTTATTTCTATTTCCTTTGAACTATTTTATAACTTAATAAGAAACTTCATCTAGTTTAATACAAACTCCTCAAATCCAAGCATATTCTTATCATTTACATATTTGTATTATTTATTAAAATAAAAACATCTTATATGCTTTTTTAAAAAATAATATATGCTTACTTTTTGACAAATTTATTCTTATTATTAAAAGATTTTTAGTACATTTTAAATATATTCACAAACTCAAACTCAAATCTATTACTCAAACCAAAGTACTTACTTCTATACAAATTCAAACTACTCTTATAATCAAACTTATTATAATATTCAAAGAAGAGGAAATTTTAATTTTCAAAAAATTCTTAGGATTATTAAAACAAAAACAATGAAATCAACAAAAACAACAAAACCTATATCAAAAACAACCTATCACCAAAAATCCTTTTATTTTCAAACTTATATCTCTTACTTCTATTACAAATAAAACAATTAATAATAAACAATAACAACAATACCAAAAATCAAATAAATAATTTTACAGTTAAGTAATAAGACCTAAACTCAACCATCATTTGACTGACTAGCAAATTTTTCAGTTACTGATGAAATGAAAAACTATACAAAATTAGAAACTAAGATATTATATTAACTTTTTAATTTTCTTAAAAAATACTTATATAATTTTTACTCTGATAAAGTCCTTAAAGAAGTTATGGAAACTAAATATATACTTAAAACTAGTTTCTATTTGTTAATTAGACAAATGGTTGATATCATACCAAAATTTCTTATTGACATAATTCAAAAACACAACTCTAAAACAAATAAAACTACAACAATCCTTTTCAATATTTTAGAAAAAAGTCTTAAAAAACTTATTAATATATTTACAACAATCTTCTTTACCAAACTCAACTATTCTGAAATATTTACTTCTTCTGCTACAATTTTATTAATTAAAACTGAAAACTGTCTACAATTTTGTCTTAATTTTGTTCATTTATATTTATATCTTTCTAATAATTATTAAGCAATCAACTATATAAAATTTGATGAAGATATTAAACTCAGACCTAAAAGATTTAAAATAATATTTAAGGTTACTGATTTTGACAAAGAACAATAATATCTTTTTATCAAAATGGATAACTAATTCAACATCAAACTAAATTTTAATCTTTCAAAATTACTTTTTCTTAACAAATAAAATATATTATCACTTAAAAACTCACTCAGTCATTTTAATGAATGGTTTGAAAAAGCCTTTTCATTATATAGCTAATAATTTTCCAATACAATTAACAAAACCAAAGTATCTAATTACCTTAAAT